ACCCACACCGCTTGAGTTTAAACTCCAGACCTGTTTCCGAATCTCTGCATCAACTCACTGTGTGGAGTTGGTACTTGGCCTATGTATGTTTTCTTTTTCTTATCTGCACAATGAGGGTGTCCTTGGTTTCTGCCTCACACAATCACTACAATGTAATGTAGTGACACAATGGTGGTAAGAAGCATGTGAGGGAAAAAGCAGCATTTCAACAGATTTATCAAACTAAAGGATTCTTAGGACCATTTCGGAGGATCACAAGTTGTTGTAGAAGGCTGCTTGTTTGTTCCCGGCAGCTCAGCCCCGAAATAATCACACAGAAGCTGTATTAATTAAATCACTGCTTGGCCCATTAGCTCTAGCTTCTTATAGGCTAGCTCTTACATCTTAATTTAACCCATTTCTAGTCATCTTTGTATCGCTACGTGACTGTGGCCTACCAGCAAGGTTCTGTCCCGTGTCTGTTTCTGGCAGGGCTACATGGCTTCTCCCTGACTCTGTCTTCTTTCTCCCAGCATTTAGTTTAGTTTTCCCCACCTAGCTCTGTTCTGCCCTGCTATAGGCTCAAAGCAGTTTGTTTATTCACTAACCAGTAAAAGCAACACATATACAGAAGGACCTCCCATATGAACAAGTAATTCATGTACCACAGTTTTTGCTCAGAGTGAGCCTTTGCACCCCACCTTCCTGTGATCATGTGATACGATTGACAGGACCTATGGTCTATTGCTTTCAAATAAGAGAGGATGATATATGAAAGTAAAATAAATTAATTCTTTTCTGAGCACCAATGACAATCACTCTGCCTGTATTAACCCAACACTACTTTGATGCAAGATGTGGCGGTGGGAATTCCACCTGAATCTTCTCCTTTAATTCTTACACAGCTTAACAAAGTGACATCTAACATGCTATTGTCAAAATATGGAAATTGGGGTTTAGAGAAGTTCAAAAGCTTTTCCTAGACCAAAGAGCCCATGCGTGGTAAAACTAGTGTTGAACCACAATCCTGTCTCACTCCAGCATTTGTCTATTTTCCTGAGATGTCACCAGTTCGAGCAAGAAAATTGAGTGGATTCTGGAAATATAGGTAGCATCCTAAATGACACATTTTCTAGTTGGCTTGCCTTACTTAGACATTAACTTATCAACATAGGTTATTATCCTTCTTTGGTGTTCTGCATGTCTGGGTAGTTATAGAACCAAGTTGTTCTTCATATTTAAAGATGATACCATCACATATGAGCCTGTGGCTGGGAAACACCAGTGTCTGACAAATGGTTCTTTCCACATTGTGTATACATGCCGATTGCTCACTGGTCTGTGGCACAGACTTCTGTTGGCGGAGTCTTGCTTCTGTGTTTTGTTCTGCCAAAGTGTGGTTGACTGAAGCTTCCTTTGAACAAGACTAAGCTACCAGTGATTCTGTAGACACACCGAGGTACCCTGGGTTCTTGTCCCCAGCAATTCTTGACTTTGTCAGACTGTCTTTTGGATTACAGGCTCTTCTGGGGGTTCTCCCCACTACTATCAAATTTTTAGTGTACTGTGGTCTTCCCTTCTTCTCTCCTTCTTTCTCTACCTTTCTTCCTCCTCCTTCCCTGCTTCCTTACTTGTTCTCTCCCTTTCCTTCTTTCATCCCTCCCTCCCTTTTTTCTTTTATCCCTTTCTTTCCTTCATTTCCCCTTTCCTTCCTTCTTCCTTTTCTCCCTCTGGTCTTCTGTCCTTCTTTCCCTTTTCTTATTTCCCCCTCCCCACTCTCTCCCTCTTTCTTTTCTCTCCCTTCAACCTCCTCCTTTTTTCCCTCTTGAAACAAGGTCTTTATATATATCTGATTTTTGACATGTGAAATCCCAGATTCCTGATTGTTGAGATTATAGGTATATGATGCTCCCCTCTTTAAAAAAGATTTATTTATTTATGTATTTATTTATTTACTCTGTATACAGTTTTCTGCCTGCAAGTATGCCTGCACTGCATGCCAGAAGAAAGCCCTGGAACACATTATAGATGGCTGTGAGCCACCATTTGGTTGCTGGAAATTGAACTCAGGACCTCTGGGAGAGCGGTTAGTGCTCTTAATTTCTGAACCATCTCTCCAACTCCCCCTCCCCTTTTAAAAGATGGTGGCCCATTTTTAACACATACCTGGTTCATTAGATTCAAGATATATGTACTCCCAGTCTTCATGCGTAGATATTATATTTCTCCATGGATTATTACCACCACATCTAAGATAGTTGTGGAAAAGGACAGAGTGGACACACACTACAGTTAGAAGACAATTTGGTGACTCACCCCTCCTATCTTTAGAAGACTTCAGTTTGGTTGGATGTTCAACTTCCCATCTGGAGCCTCCTAGTTTGTGATTATTTTCTAGTTTCTTAGCAACTAATTTTTATGTAGAAGGACAGGAAGTGTCTGCAAGTGAGGGTACAGCCTGGTGTGGCATCTCAGCCTTCACAGGAGCAAAAAGCAGCTGAGGGAAGCTCATGACTTCTGGATGTGTAGCGTCCTTCTTCTCTTTCTACTTCTCTCACTTTTTTTCTTCTTCTTTTCTCCCCCTCACCTTCTTCTCGGACAGAATTTTTCAACTTCATGCTCTAGAACAGAAATTAAGTTTGGGCTTCACAGCCTCAAGACTCTTCCTATTTTGGTCCAAAAGTTTTTTTTTTTTTGGTTCAGAAAGTTGTCCTGAGCATAATAGTATATGAAGACCACCCCTAATTTTTATCTACCAAATCAACAGTGACCTTCCTGTCTCTATAGTCAAGACAATGAGAAATATTTTTCAACATTATTAAATCTCCTTGAAGGATGCAATTACCTTTGATTATAAACCACTGATCAAATAATGTGATCTAATTTAATTCTCATAATGACTTTTGAAATATATCAGATCACCTACTTCTTATTTTAGGGATGGTGAAATGGAGGCTTACAATAGTAAGTGTTTGCTCAGAGCAGTGTGAATAGAGATTTCTGAACCAGATAGAATAGTGAAAATCTAACCACAGAATTGAATGTCATACTGTAAATCAAGTTCACCACTACTACAAACTTTGGTCCTGAATTTCTGTCTTATAATGTTCTTCTCTTGAAAGTATCCTGTTAGACTCACTGAAGTACTTTCAGTCCCTAAATCATGTTTGTGTAACAAATTCCCTCCCTCTGCAATGCTGTTGCTTCAGCCTAGATTACCTTTGCTCCCCATTTCTGTATATGGGACACGAGTTAATGATCTTTATTGTCTGAGCAGCAGTGTCCCTCCATTTCTGACCTAGGTGTGGTCATGCTTCCATACCTACCTGATCCCATTCCGACACATTAACACGCACAGATTACACAGCGCAGATTCACTGGATGGAAGGTGTCTTGAGGTCCTTCATATACTAGTTTGTGTTGACTTTTGCACTTTCTCATTTCTGCACTTGGCCTCTTACTGAATGGATAGACTGTAGTGTCTAGACAGTAATGAAAATACAGGCATATTTTTACTTCAGATGTGCTAGGCTGTGATCTGTGTGCTTGGCTATACTCTTTTGAGGAATCTTCTACCTTTTTGACTTCTTGTGTTTCATGATCCATTTAACACACACACACACACACACACACACACACACACACACACACACTCACACAATGCTTTACTTACCTTCTACAGACCACTCATTGAATAGATGTCCTTCGTTGACATGTCTTGGTTTTCACCCCTCATGCTGAATTTTCTCTCACATTGGATTTCCCTTTTCTGTGCTTGGGCTGTGATTCTCATCTTGGGTCATCTTTCTCTATGGATGCTCTTTTAACTCATCCTCTTCCGTAAATATTTAACTTCCAATGTTTGGTGCAAGAGACATAATCCAGAAGAAAAATTGGGACTGGAGATCGTGAAACTATACATGGAACTCAAAAGCCTTGAGCTCACTCAGGGAGAGTATAGATAGAGGCCAGCAGAGTCCCTTTGCGCTTACATTTAAAGTGGTGGAGAATAAAGAAAAAACAGTAAGGGTGGTGGAATAGAACAATCTCCCAGTCTAGAAAGGACCATGGTTATGTCATCATTTGTAGTAGGCAGAAAGGCAGAATACAGAGTGGTAGAAGTGGTGTGGGGAACATATAGACATGAATGTTGTGATAGATTCTGTTCTTGGTGAGAAGAAGGGAGCAGAGGAGGTTTTTATTATTGTTTTTACTGAGCTATGCATTTTTCTTTTCTCCCCTTGCTCTCTCCTTGTTCCCTTCTACCCTCTCCCATGACCCTCACACCTCCAATGAACTCGGAGCTCTTGTCCTTTTTTTCCTATGTAGATCCATGTATGCCTCTCTTAGGGTTCTCTTTGTTGTCTAGGTTCTCTGGGATTGTGAATTGTAGGCTGCTGGTTTTTCTTTGCATTATGCTAAAAGTCACTTATGAGTGAGTACATATGATATTTGTCTTTCTGAGTCTGGGTTACCTTACTCAATATGTTTTTTCTAGATCTATTTATTTGCACGCAACTCTCAAGATGTCATTATTTATTTATTTGTTTGTTTTTTTATTTAGTTATTTATTTTTTTACTGCTGTGTAGTACTCCATTGTGTAAATGTACCACATTTTCTTTATCCATTCTTCAGTTGAGGGACATCTAAGTTGTTTCCAGGTTTCTGGCTATTACAAATAATGCTGCTATGAACATAGTTAAACACATGTCCTTGTGATATGATTGAGCATCCTTTGGGTATATGCCCAACAGTGGTATTGCTGGGTCTTGAGGTAGATTTTTTTCTAATTTTCTGAGAAATCATCATACTGATTTCCAAAATGGCTGTACAAGTTTGCACTTCCACCAGCAATGGAGGAGCATTCTCCTTACCCTACCCAAGGAGGTGTTTTCGAAGTGAGAATTGTTCTAAAAGCATTACTTAGTGCATGGAGTAGCTAAAATAAGACTTACTATATGGTATCAAGAGCTTTTTTTTTTTAAAAAAAAGATTATTAAAAATAAGTGTGAAGATTTTTACTGCTCGGACGCGGAGCGAGAAGCTGAGAGTCGGAGACGCTATCCGCTTCCATCCGTCGCGCAGACCCTGCCGGAGCCGCTGCCGCTATGGATGATCGGGAGGATCTGGTGTACCAGGCGAAGCTGGCAGAGCAGGCCGAGCGATACGACGAAATGGTGGAATCAATGAAGAAAGTAGCAGGAATGGATGTGGAGCTGACAGTTGAAGAACGAAACCTTTTATCTGTTGCATATAAAAATGTGATTGGAGCCAGAAGAGCATCCTGGAGAATAATCAGCAGCATTGAACAGAAGGAAGAAAACAAGGGAGGAGAGGACAAACTAAAGATGATTCGGGAGTACCGGCAAATGGTTGAAACTGAGCTCAAATTAATCTGTTGTGACATTCTGGATGTACTGGACAAACACCTCATTCCAGCAGCTAACACTGGCGAGTCCAAGGTTTTCTATTATAAAATGAAAGGGGACTACCACAGGTATCTGGCTGAGTTTGCCACAGGAAATGACAGGAAGGAGGCCGCAGAAAACAGCCTCGTGGCTTACAAAGCTGCTAGTGACATTGCCATGACAGAACTTCCTCCAACGCACCCCATTCGTTTAGGTCTTGCTCTCAACTTTTCCGTATTCTACTATGAAATTCTTAATTCCCCTGACCGTGCCTGCAGGTTGGCAAAAGCAGCTTTTGATGACGCTATTGCAGAACTGGACACGCTGAGTGAAGAAAGCTATAAGGACTCTACGCTTATCATGCAGCTGCTACGTGATAACCTGACGCTTTGGACCTCAGACATGCAGGGCGATGGTGAAGAGCAGAATAAAGAAGCGCTGCAGGATGTGGAAGATGAAAATCAGTGAGACGTACTAAAGCCAACAAGAGAACACATCTCTGATCACCCTCCCTCCCCACCCTCCCCTTGGAAGTTCCCCATTGTCACTGAGAACCACCAAATTTGACTTTCACATTTGGTCTCAGAATTTAGGTTCCTGCCCTGTTGTTTTTCTTTCTTCCTCTTTTTTTTCTCCCCTCCCCCCTTTTTTTTAAACAAACAAACAAACAAACAAACAGTTTTCAGAAGTTCTTAAAGGCAAGAGTGAATTTCTGTGGATTTTACTGGTCCCAGCTTTTAGGTTCTTTACGACACTAACAGGACTGCATAGAGGCTTTTTCAGCATTACTGTATTGTCTCCAGCCACACGGGCAAGATCATCAATAGAAATGGAAATGACATTTGAAAGCCATTAGACTTCTAGGTGATGCATCTAAGAAAGATTAATCACATGATAGAGGCGCATATGTGCTGTCATTTTTCCTTTTTTAATTGTTTAAATTGAATTTTATACCAATGTTTAAACTTAATTGGATATTAGCTTGAGATGTTTTGGGGGAGTTTGTTATAATGGTTTTGCTGTCAAATGTGTTTGGAACTCTGCTGAAGTGTTGCTGAAAGGCATGGTGCTGGTAACAGTTCAACAATCCGTGGCTGCTCATTCTTGCCGACTCCTCCCCCTCTGAAGCAGGTTAGCATTGAAGGTGGTATGGAAGCCTGCATGCGTGTTCAACTCTCTTCCTTTCCCCTCGCTCCTTAGCCTCCTTCCCTCTTCCTCCTCTTCCGCTCGCTCAACCTCTTTTGTTCAGTATGTGTAACTTGAAGCTAATTTGTACTACTGGATGTCTGACTGGAGCCACAGATGCAGCATCTGTATTGTTCTTACTGAAACACAGCATGGAATTAACATTAAACTTAAATAAAACAAACCTAAATTAAAAATGCCAAATAAAAAAAAATAAGTGTGAAATGAGATTTGTTGCAAGGTGCCTTACTTTTCTCTATCCAAAATGAACTACTCAGACGCTGTACAGGATATGTGGGAAGTTGCATTTGTATAGAATTAGAGTTTCACTAGGAATCCACAGGAAGAGGAGCAAACGGCATTTTCAAGCATATGTGTCAGTATACGCTCATCTTTTCCCATCATCCATTGCTCTTCTTGTGCCCTCTCCACTTCCACTGCATGCTCTTCCTTTCTCTAGTTAGTCCTTCCTCCTTTTATTATCGTGTTACATGTTTTCCATTTCCCTCTTTATTTCCCATTTCCCTTAGGATATTTCCCTCAGGATCTTTCCCTCTCTTCTCATAATTCCTTTTCTAGTTTTGTAAATTCCAAACACACGCATATATATACAAACACACACATTCTAGCACACCGTGGATACACAAATACACATGCACTTATATGTAATTAAGGTTCCACAATGGGAGAGAACGTGAGGTATTTATTTTTCTGAGCCTGGCTTATTTCACTTAACATAATGATTTCCAGTTGCCTCCATCTTCCTACAGATGCTATGATTTAATTTTTATTGCAGTCACATAAAATTCCATTGTGTATATATGCCATATATTTTATTTTTTAAGACACAGACTTTATTTTTTGAAAATTGTGTGTGTGCATAAGGTATTTTGATTGCTGTCTTCACCATCCTCCCTTGTCCCCCCACTCAACTCCTGTTAACTCTCCTGCCCTACAAAGCTCTTTTCCTTCACCAACTGAGTTTAACCATGACTGTCTGTATGCCCATGGATTTGGAACTGTCGGTTGGAACTTGGTGGACTCACTGTGGGTCCAGAGTATGTCACTTCAACAGTAAGGATTGGGGTTCTTTAGGCCCCTCATAGATCCATGGCTAACTGTCAACAAAGCCAGTTTTGTGTTTTATTTATTCATTCATCTGTTCATTGATATCCAGGCCGGTGCAATTTCCTGGTTGTTATGAGTAGTACTACTATAAACATGGAAACAGAATTATCTCTGTAGTGTGTTGATCTAGAGTCCTTTGTGTATATACCTAAGAATTGTGTAGCTGGAACCTATGGTAGTTCTAATTTCAGTTTTTTGATGATCTGCTGTAGTGATTTCCATAGTGGCTACACAAGTTTGCATACCCTCACAGTTACTAAGGGGTCCTCATTCACCACATCCTTGTCAGCATTTGTTACTATTTTTTACTTGATGATAACTATTTTAACTTGGGTGAGGTGGTATCTCAAAGCAATTTACATTTCCCTGATGGCTAAAGATATTGAAAACATTCTCAAGTTTTTATTTCTTATTTTATAAAATCATTTATTTTTATTTTGTGTGTGTGCATGTTTGCCTGCGTATATACCATGTGTATGCCTGGCACCTGCAGAAACCAGAAGTGGGTTTTGAATCCTTTAAAACTGCAGTTACAGGTGGTTGTGCACCATAATGTAGGTTTTGAAAACAGAACCCAGCTCTTCTGTAAGAGCAGTGAGTGCCATTAACAACTGAGCCACCTCTACACCCCCAATTTTCCTTTTTGAAAACTATTGCTTTAACTAATTTGTTCATTTGATCATTGAATGATTTGGAATTTTTAATGCTTAATTATCAAAGTTTTTTTAAAAATATCCTAGATATTAATCACCTATCTGTATATAGTTGATAAAGCATTTTCTTCAATCTGTAGGTTGTCTCTTCATGCTTGTCTTTTTTTTTTTTTTTTTTTTGAGACAGCTTTTCGTTGTGTAACCTTGGCTGTCCTAGAACTCGCTCTGTAGACCAGGCTGGCCTTGAAGTCACAGAGATCTGCCTGCCTCTGTCTCCAGAGTGATGGGATTAAAGGTGTTTGCCACTACTGTTCTGCCTCACTCTTGTCTGTCAGTGCTTTATTATTGTGAAGAGACACCATGACCACAGTAACTCTTATAAGGAAATCATTTAATTGGGACTTGCTAAAAGTTTCAGATATTTAGTCCCATTGGTAGCTCAGAGATCTACATTCAGATCCACAAGCAGCAGAAAGAGAGAGCCACTGGGCCTGGGTTGGGCTTTTGAAACTTCAAAGCCTACCCCTAGTGATACACTTCCTCTAGCAAGGCCACACCTAATCCAACGTGGCTAATCCTTTCAAATAGTGCTACTCCCTAAGTATTCAAATATGAACCTGCATAGACCCTTTTTATTCAAACCACCACAACTCTGAGGACTGTTTCCTTTGTTGGGGAAATAATTCTTAACTTCATATTATCCTAATTGTCAATTCTTGCAATTATTTATTGTGCTATTAAAGCTAAATTCAGAAAATCCTTTCCTATGCTATATCTTAAAGTATTCCTTCTATATTTTCCTTTACCAGTTTCTTTCAGGTCCAGCTGAAGAGTGGGAGGAGTGAGAATATGAGCAAAGAGGTCAAGACCATGATGGGGACACCCACTGAACAGCCTACCTGAGCTAATGGGAGCCCACCAACTCCAGCTGGACAGAGAAGGAACAAGCATAGGACCAAGCCAGACCTCTGAATGTGGGTAACAGTTGTATGCCTGGGGCAGACTGAGGGGCCAATGGCAGTAGCACCAGGATTTATCCCTACTACTTGTACTAGCTTTTTGGGAACCTATTGTCTTTGGATGGATACCTTGTTCAGCCTAGATATAGTAGGGAGGGCCTTGGACCTTCCCCAAAGCAATGTGGTTTACCCTCTCTGAGAAGTGGAATGAGGGGTGGGGTGGGAAGAAAAGTGAAGGGAAGGGAGTGGGAACTGGAATTGGTACGTAAAATGTAAAAAGATTGCTTTCTTTAAAAAAAAAATAAGAAAAATAAAAAGACTGGGTGTGCCAGGGTCTAAACTGAAGGTATTCACAGATGCACTTTTAGATTTTGAGATATGATTTTCACAGATGTGGGCTTGTAGTTTTACTATTTTATAAGTGAATGAAAAGCTTATATAGTAATTATGATACAGATACAAATATGACTAGGATAGAGAATCATTGTTAAGAGAAAACATTCTGGGATGGGTGTATAGCTCAGTGGTAAATTATTTGTCTACCAGCGTCACAAAATTAGGAGAGAAAAGTTTCCACGACATAGAGTTTTTATCCTAATTCTTGTAATTAATCACAGCTGTGTGATTCAGGCACCAGGGAGACTTGAACCTTTCCGTCTCAGTTTCTGTGTTATACAATGGAGAGAGTGACGATGTTTTCTTTATCACGTTGTTATTTGGCCCACATTGATTAGTATAGTTTAGTCGGCATTATTTGCACACGTAAGAACTTCATGCCACATCGGTTGTTATTTGTGCTGCTAATTTTGGCTCACACGATCTCACCTGAGACCGTCAATGAAAGTTTGTCTACACTGTTAGCTTGCTCCGTGAACGGCAAGTTTACAGTGTAATTGATGAAAGCTAAACTATCGGAATTATCACATCTGTAGTGGTTTGAACGAGAGTGGCCCCCATAGGCTCATACGTTTGGATGGTTAGCCACCAGGGAGTAAAACTCTAATAGGGTTAGAAGGATTAGGAGGTGGGGCCGTGTTGGAGGAAGTGTGTCACTAGGGGTGGGCTTTGAGGTTTCAAAAGCCCACGCCTGTGGATTAGGATATAGTCTCTCAGCTACTGCTTTAGCACCTGCCTTTCTGTCACCATGCTCCCCACCATGGTGAAAATTTACAACCCCTCAATTAAAGGCTTTCTCTTCTAAGAGTTGCCTTGGTTGTGGTGTCTCTTCACAGCAATAGGCCAGTGACTAAGGCAACATATTAAAAAGGAGGATTTTAATGCATGAAAATGGAACCCTTGCATACGGTTGGTGTGAATACAAATTAGTACAACCACTGTGCAAAAACAGTTTCTCAAAAATTTAAAAACAGAACTATTTATATGATCCAGAAATACCACTTCAGGTTATTCATATTCAAAGGAAATAAAATCAACACGTCAGCAAAACATCTGCATTTCTATGCTTATTTCAGTACAATTAAAAAGAAAAGAAAACAATTTAGGTGTCTGTCCACTGATAAATGGATAAAGAAAATGTATATAAATATACACAATAGAATACCAGTCCACTGTGAAAAGGAAGAAATTCTCTTATTTGTGACTATATGGATGAAATTAGAAATCATTATGTTAAATAAAACAAGCCAGGCATAGAACCAGAACCAAGTACTAAAAACATTGATGTCACAGATGTTGAGAGAATAGTGGTTTGTATAAGGCAGGAGGTAGTAAGAGGGAGGTAGGGTTAGGAGAGGTTGATTAGAGAGTATAAGTTACAGTTTGAAGTAAGAAGTTCTGGTGTTGGGTGACTATAGCTAGAAATTAGGTACCATATATTTAAACATAAACTGGAGGAAAGGATTCTGAATTATGCATGTTTGTCCCCTACAAATGATAACTTTTGCAGAGTTATGTATGTTAACCTGACTTGAACATTGAGACATCACGTCATAGGTACCATATTAATATGTGTCATTTGGTGTTTTATGTAACAGCTAAAATAAAATTTGAAATGTGAATCTTTTCTATAGCAAGTTCTCTGATCATTCATTATGAGCAGTATGAAAGTTTTATGAATGACATTAAAATACCAAAAATGTTCAAAGTTTTATTCTCAGTTATGGGAAAAATCATTTGAATATTGGGATATTTTAATTTGGTAATCAACAGTGGAAAAATACAGAAATTTTATTACTGCTATTGTAATTTATGAGCACAAATGATCTGAAGAGGGAAATGGGAAACTGTGTTCGTGGATTAACTAAGGAGAGTGAAGGGAGGTAAACACAGAAAAAAGAAGAGGTTAAAATAACAGTAAGGATGTCTAAACAAGTCGTAAAGAATCATCTTATTAACTATCTACCTAAAATACCTATAATAGATATAAATCAGCACATTAGCATGTATACATTGTTTAAATGAAATTCTCCATATAGTTTTTCCAT